ATGCAGGGAGCCCAATGTGGGACTTGATCCTGGGATTTCAGGACCACGCCCTGAGCAGAAGGCAGATGCTCAACCGTTGAGCCACCTGGGTGTCCCTATCCATTTTTAATTGGATTATTTTTGGTTTTAGAATTGAATTGTGTAAGTTCTTTATATATTTTGGATACTAACCCCTTATGGGATGTCATTTGCTAATCTCTTCTCCCATCTTTTTGCTTTGTTGCTTGAATCATTGTGCAGAAGCTTTTAATTTTGATATAGTCCCAAAAGTTTGCTTTTGTTTCCTTTCCCTCAGGAGATGTATCTAGAAAAATGTTGCTATGGCTGATGTCAAAGAAATTATTGCCTGTGCTCTCTTCTAGGGTTTTTATGGTTTTGGGTCTCACTCACTTCCATGTCTTTAATGGACTTGTGTGGCTTTTCTATTGCTCAGTTTTAAACTTGTCTGTGGATTAGTTACTGGGAGTTGAGGCCATGTCTACACCATGCATATATACCTTTCCCACTTCCCTGCCTCCCAGTGAGGTTAGACTGCTAGTCAAGGAACATTAATATACTGTATTTGTTGTAAGCTAAATTACATAGTAAAACTATGATTACTTTTTTAAAGGATTTTATTTATTTATTCACGAGAGACACAGATTGAGAGAGAGGCAGAGACACAGGCAGAGGGAGAAGCAGGCTCCATACAGGGAGCCCGATGTGGGACTCGATCCTGGGTCTCCAGGATCAGGCCCTGGGCTGAAGGTGGCGCTAAACCACTGAGCCACCCGGGCTGCCCTACTTATTTATGTAGAAATTTGGTTTGTTTTCTTTTCCTTGGAATTATCTTGTTTAGATTTCTATATAGTTGACACTTTACTCAGTTCCAAATTTTCTCAGATTAGTTTAAATAGAGAACCATATTAATATGCTTCAGGTAACCTATCAATTAGATCTCCCTGAAGTCTTTCCCAGAGCCTCTAGCCTCCAATCTGGACTGGGGACCCTCTGTGTGCCATCTAACAAACTCTTATTGAGTCTAACACATGCTTCACACTGTGTTAGGCCTGGCAAAACAAAGGGATCAGGGAGGGGTGCCTGGCTGGCTGAATCAGCAGAGCATGCAACTCTTGATCTTGGGGTCATGAGTTTGAGCCCTATGTTTGGTGTAGAGGTTACTTCATTATTATTTTTAAAGATTTTATTTATTCATGAGAGACACACAGAGAGAGGGAGAGACGTAAGCAGGCTCCCTGCAGGGAGCCCATTGTGGGACTGGATACCAGGACCCTGGGATCACGCTCTGAGCCGAAGGCAGACGCTCAACCACTGAGCCACCCAGGCATCTTTAGAGATTACTTAAAAAAAATAAAATCTTAGGGATTTTACTGGTGCCTGTCTTTTACATGAAGCTAAGTGGGCATTCTTGGTCCAGCCTCGTCTGCCTCATGGCTAGTTGAGGTTCTTAGATTCTACTGTTAAGCTATCTTGTGTGGGGAGTAACAGGTGAGGCTGGGTGAACACTGAGATGAGAATGGGTCAGGGATCCTAGGAATATGTGAATCTGGCCATGCCCCCTTTGGAGACACGTGGGACCCCAAGCCCCATGCATGGCAATAGTAAGACTACCCAGAATAAAGGTGCCAGCATCAAAGCATCAAAGGAAGCAAGTCCAGGGACAGAGTGAGAAACACACCACACACACAGGGAGGGAGAGAAGGGTAATTTATCCCACTGTCTAAGGAGGGGGTTGGCTTGGGTTACTGAGTATTTTCTGGCCAGCTACAGCTCTCTGAAAGATGTAGGTGGAGCAGATAGGGCTAGGGCTAAGGACCAAAATGAAAAGCCACACCTATGTACCTTGTGACTGTTAATACCCTTAACCTGTAGCCCAGCCATATTTGGAAGATGACCCAGCCTTGGCGGTGGTAGTTTTCTTTTCTTTTTTTTTTTTTAATTTTTTTTTATTTATTTACGACAGTCATACAGAGAGAGAGGCAGAGACACAGGCAGAGGGAGAAGCAGGCTCCATGCAGGAAGCCCGACGTGGGACTCGATCCCGGGTCTCCAGGATCGCGCCCTGGGCCAAAGGCAGGCGCCAAACCGCTGCGCCACCCAGGGATCCCCTGGTAGTTAAGTTTTCTTACATCAGGGACTTCATCATGGGGAACTGCCAATGGGGGACTTGTCGGGATGAGCCAAGAGTGCCCCCTAGAGGCCAATAATGTTGGTTTTTAACTTTTGATCCTATTCAGATCCACTCTATACCACCTCCCCACCAGGATTCAGAAGTCTTTAGTGAGAAATTGGGAAAGGGCTATAAGTGAGGGGTCACTGCCAGTAAAAATAAAACTAACACAGTAGGTTAAAATATCCCATGCTCCGCAACAGGTAAAGATGAAGACCATAGTAACAAATCAGCTTGGCCCAACTCTCTAATGGGCCAGAACAATCATTTGGGACATGAAATGCATTGTGATTTACAGACAAAACACTCTGCCTTCTTCATACACTCTGTCACCCACACTGCATGTACTGATGCCTCCAGGTTTGCTGGAGAAGGGTAGTAACAAAAGGTGCCCTCAGAGAAGAAAAGTGGCTGGGAGGCTGGAGCCTAACCTCCAGGAAAAAGCAGGGCAAGTGGATTCTTAGGTTAGGTGTGAACTGGATCTAGGAAGAAACAATTCAAGAATGAATCCCCATGACAGGTCTCCCGAGGCAGTGGTTCAGCCTGGGCCTACCCTTCTTGTACTCATGTAAGAAAAAAACAAAACAAGAGGCCCAACATCCTGCCAGGCATGGGACAAAAGACATTCAGAGGAAGGTCCTGGTGTGGAGGCTGGTGGAAGGTAGGAGCAGAGCATGGCCAAGGTGTGACGGCACAAGGTACAGACTCTGGCTTCTGCCGGGTGCTGGGCATGGACTGAGGTGGGTGAGTTGGGCAGGGGCCACCCTGAGCTCTGGGGGGCAGAGCAGATTCTGGTAGGCCAGTGCTTGGGATCTGCTGGCAGCACTCTGCCAAGGAAAACTGCAGTTGGGAGACTCTCAGCCTACCTCCCCCACACAGGGCTTCGATTTTTGCTCCCTGTCCAAGCAGGGCCGGATGGCCTGGGAACTCCCCTTATAATGTGAAAGGAAGTCTGTGGAACCTACTGGAGAGGCCAACAGGTTCTTGGCAGGGCATCAGCAGTAGCATTCCCAAGCAGGTGTGTTTTGGGGCTGGGGCTGGCGGTGGGCGTGGTGGCAGAAAGGAGCCACAGCTGCCGCCTGTGGCTTCCCAGGCCCTGAACATAAATGTTCTGGGGAGTCTGGATGACAGAGCCCAGGGCCTGAAGAGAATCACCCTCATCATTTCTAAGCAGGCTCCAACTCGCTCTGGTTTCTGTGTAGATCCAGGTTTCCAGACAACTATCACTTTGTTTATATTCTGAATAATAACTTCCGAAAAGATGTAAAACAGTCATAGCATTTGAGGGCTGAAAGAGGGTTTAGGGGTTATTAACCCTTTCATTTTATAAATTAGCTGGCCCAGAGTGCTTAAATTATCTTGCCTAGCACAAAAGGAAAGAACTAGGGTAAACTCTGATGTGGGAAACAAAGGCAGAAGAAAAATTCTTAAATTTCCTTACTATCTACAGCCCACTGACAAGTCCTTGAAACAAGGAGAGTGACATTTCTCTAGGAACTCAGCTGCATCGATGTTCATACTTTGCTAAGGGCAACAGGAAATCTTAGCCTGACCTCCAGGATCCTGTAAGTCTACTTTAACATATAAAAATCCTTGGGATCCCTGGGTGGCACAGCTGTTTGGTGCCTGCCTTTGGCCCAGGGCGCGATCGTGGAGATCCGGGATCGAATCCCACGTCGGGGTCCCGGTGCATGGGAGCCTGCTTCTCCCTCTGCCTGTGTCTCTGCCTCTCTCTCTCTCTCTGTGACTATCATAAATAAATAAAAATTAAAAAAAAATAATTTCTTAAAAAAAAATCCTTTGGAAACTGCCTTTATCCTGGCAATCATCCCCCAAGCATATGACCCACCAATACACATCCGAAGGGCCTCATGGCTCAGGTTTTAATAGATGGTAATAAATGACTTTTTCCCAAAATAGCTAGCCCCCCAAGGTCCTGGAAGCCTTGCTTCCAAAATTCCTTAGAGACTTATACTGTCCCTAACCCCTTCCCAACTTGAAAGTATAATCCTCATGGTCCCGTGCTGTACTAAAACTACTTTTTTGTACCAAAGACGTCTCAAGAATTCTTTCTTGGCTGTCGGCTTCAAACCCTAACATTTTTCCTACATCAAACTTCACACACTGAAGGTTCTTTTCTCTGAGCCTTCTTCATTGCTTCCTTCTGGTAGGAAGGGAGCTTTGGCGGCACCACCTGAGCTGTGCTTAGTGGCAGGGTCTGCTCTTTAACTTGGCCTCTGCGGAAGCCTTCTGGGGAGGCAGATGGTCCCTTACTGCCCTGCTGGGGCTTTTCTCGTTCTTTTAGAATGAGGCCGATTAGCACCTTCCCTCTGTAAACTCTGGGCTTTAGCTGTCACTCCAGGTTACAGAATTAATTAAATGCTTTATGTACATTATTACGTTTATTAACTTATGATTTTCCAAAGTGGTTATCCAAGTTATAAATGTTGGTTCCATGTCTGATGATAAATGCTCTGAGGCTTCAATCCTGAAAAGAGGGTGGCTGGAGGGAAATTCACTAGAGGGTAGAGGCCTCTGGGAAGCTGGAATGAAGCTAAGAGGAGGCTCTTGACCCAAGGTGCCTGGTCCGCTGAGAGCATCTGCACATGCCCAACAGCTACTCTACCCAGACACCATCTCCAACAAAGCCCATGACAGCTATCATCACGTCCTGCCGTGTTTGTAAAGAAAACGCTACATTTCATTCCCGTAGCCCATATCCCTTGACTGATGCTTTTAGGTTGAGGTTCCCCATACACCTCAGGAGAGACATTGCATAGCTCTCTGCATATTTCTAGATGGTAAAGAAATGATCCTTTGCTGCTTGCTGTACTATGAATCAATCAAAAGTTATTTATTTTCTAAACTATAAAAACACATACAAAAAGGGACTTATTTGTGGCCACAGTTCAGAAATGATATCATTGTGACAAACATTCCTGTGGGCAGGGCCACTGTGGAGAAAGTACTACTACCAAACCATTAATAATCTTAATCACCAATTGGTCTCAGACTCTTCAGGTTACTACTTCTAAATTACACATGGACAACGAGTTAAGTTTTATTAAACCAGACTCATAAAAGTAAGGACTGTGCTTCTTCAGGTTGATAAAATATAATTCCAAGATTCTGAGGAAAATAATCTTATATCAGTTCCAGGGAACTTTTCTCCCCAAGAGTTGATTGGTCACTTTCTGTGTAAGAAAAGAAAGACAGGAAAAAATTAGATACTTTTGCCATCAGAAGCAGACAGCCGCTTCTCACCCCAGATATGTAGCTGAGACCAGTGGGGTTCTACCCAAATCTTATCTTCCCCAGCTATAGCAACTAATCATGCAAAAAATTCTTCTTGAGGTGTTTAGGAAAGATGATCTATATAGTCAGTATGTATTACTTCTGTACAGTCCTTCTGTACAGATTTAATATCCAGATAGACTCATCCATCCATCAGTTCAAACATACAAGCACAATAAAAGGCCTGGCCTGTGACGCTGACACAATGGACAGGCCATGTGGTGCCGGGGGACCCCTTCCTCGAAGGGCCCGGCCCGGCCCAGCCCAGCTCCGGGTGTGTTCCAGAAGCAGTTCTCCAATCCCACATCGGTCTGGTATAAACTCGTCTTTTGGATTCTGACTTTCAGAGTCCTCTGGCGGTGAAGTGAAGGGGTTGGGAAGGAAATGAAAACAGTGAAGGATATGGGCCTTCAGGCATGGCAGCCTGCCTGGCTTTTCAAGGAATATTTTGATAGCAAGTCTCCTGGCCTCCGAGGGTCTGGGACTTGCAGCATTACTGATTCCACTGGGCCCATGGGCAGGAAATGGTGGCGGCTTTGAGGCTCTGACTCCTCAAGCTGCCAACTTTATACTATACTTAGACATTTTCCAGTTTATTTTACAACCTCTAGAGGTTATCTGACTAACCAATAAGGAGTATAAAACTATCATTTGGGGGTAGAGAATGAAAACCCAACAATTCTGATAGATTAGGACATTCTACCATAACTCCTAAGTATGGAATTTGGTTTCATTCCAAATATATACCTGGAAGGTGCCTTTTTTAGATTTACCTTTTAAGATTTTTAGATTTAGACAGGTGCCTTCCAAATTTTAGCAGTGGAACAACGCATCACAAGCTTAAGTTTACTCCCCAGATATGTAATGGTTAATTCAACAGGTCATATGTGTTTCTCTCAATTTCTCTTTCCCCTGATAAAGCTGATGGATCCTGCTCCAAGACTGACTGACCTTCTTGAATAGCTGAGCTCGCAGCCGGTATGACTTATATTCCAATCTCCTCTTCTCCTCTTCTCTCTTTCTCTGCACTTCTGGCAGCTGCTCATAAATTCTTAGGAACGGTGCCAAAAGGAAAACAAAAAGCAATGAGATTACCTAACCACAGAGGGACATGATCTCTTCTCCCCCATCTCCCTGAGGTATGCTGCTCTCAGGGCATTGGGCCCTCAGAGACAGGCCCCAGAACCCTGGGGTGGGCCTGTTTCCTGTTAGACAGTTGGAAACAAAGAACACTGGCCCGGGGTGCTCATGATCTGGGAGGGCAGACAGATGAACAAAAACATCAAGAAATCCAGCTTATAGTTGTTACTTCTGAGAAAGGTGTGGAATAAATGAGTGGAGATAACAGCTTCTCACTCTATATGCAAAAATGTACAGTTTCAATATAAGAATATAGATGTGTTAATTAGTATATTTTTAAACACACAGAAAATAATAAGAAAAGCACAATCATGGCCCTAGGTACAAAATGCTACATAGATTTCCAAGAAATGAAAGGTGGGTCTTAAAGAGAGGAGCAGAGAGGGGATGAGAGGAGAAGGGAGTATTAGAAAGAGTCAAGGCCTCAGAGAGGTGTGCAGGGAAGCAGGTGGGAAGCAGAAGAGGTGAAGGTGAGGTGGGCTGTGTAGGGTCTTGCAGCCATGTGAAAACCCTGGCCTCTGTCCTATCAAAGGCTGGGTGCCACTGATTTTAAGTAGGGAGGAACATGATTAAACATGCATTTGATAAATATACTCTAATTGGAAATGATCTAAATTTCCAACAAAAGAAGAGTGAAACAGATTATAGAATATAATGGGATTATTACAAAGCATAAAAAATATATTTCAAAGAATTTTTAATCATATGGGAAAATGTTCACAATATAATGTTGAGCAAAATAAAGCAGGCTACAAACCTATATATACACACACTATCATCAGCAATTTGAGAAAAAATAAGTGTGTGAATACAGGTCTCTGCAAAACCCCCACTCCTGCCAGAAACAGGACTAGTGTCAGTTCAGTTCAGATGGAAGGATGATCAGTGACATTTATTTTCTTCTTTCTATTTCTCTATATTTTCCAAAGTTTTCTATAATTTGAAGAGTATCATTTAAAATGATGTAGAGGCTCTGTGGGAACTAAATGAGAAACAAGAAAGAACAGAAGCAGGAAGAAGAGCGTCCTCTGAAAGTGGAGGCCAGCTTGCATCAAGGCAGTGAGAGCAAGTTCCAGAGCAATCACACTGAGTGCCCAGAATGTGCTAGTTGGCTGTGTGTGTGTGTATGTGGGGGATAACACGGCTAGAGGCGCCTGCTCCCCAGCTTCCAGCTGGATGTGTGGCAGGTCTGTTTCGGATATGGTGGAGGCAATCAGTAACTGACAACACTAGGGCAAAGGTCAGGAACAAGAGTAAAGAGGAAAATACTTTTTTTTTTAAGATTTTATTTTTATTTTATTATTTATTCATGAGACACACACACACACACACACAGAGAGAGAGAGAGAGAGAGAGAGAGAGGCAGAGACACAGGCAGAGGGAGAAGCAGGCCCCATGCCGGGCGCCCAACGCGGGACTCGATCCTGGGACTCTAGGACGACGCCCCGGGCCAAAGGCAGGCACTAAACCGCTGAGCCACCCAGGGACCTCCAGGTACAGACATTCTTAAATGTCACTGTTGATGAAAACCACATGTGATATCACCTCACACCTGTTAGAATGGTCATTATTAAAGAACCAAGAGATAACAGGTGTCTGCCAGGATGTGAAGAAAGGGAACCCTTGTGCACTGCTGGTGGGGAATGTGAATTGGTGCAGCCACTGCAGGAAACAGTGGAGGCTCTTCAAACAATTAAAAATAGAACCACCATAAGCAACCTAAGGGACCATCAACAGATGAATGGATAAAGCAAATGTATTATTATATTATTATTCAGTCATAAAAAAGAAGGAAATCTTTCCATTTGCAATGTGAATGGACCTTGAGGACGTTATGCTATGAAATAAGTCAGATGGAGAAAGGCAAAATTGTATGATCTCATTTACACATGGAATCTAAAAACATCAAACTTGGGGCTCATCAAACCTGGGTGGCTCAGTCTGTTAAGCGTCTGCCTTCAGCTTGGGTTGTGATCCCAGGACCCTGAGCATTGGGCTCCCTGCTCAGCGAGGAACCTGCTTCTCCCTCTCCCTCTGCAACCCCCTGCCCATGGTCTTTCTCTATCTCTCTTAAATCTTTAAAGATTTAAATAAAATCTTAAACAAACAAACAAACACAAAAAACCCACATCAAACTCACCGAAATAGACACTAGAATTGGTGATTGCCAGAGGCTGGGGCATTGGGGGATGAGGAGGTGTTAGTCAAAGGGTACAAAATTCCAGTTGTAAGAGGAAAAAAGTTCTGGGGAATCTAAGGTCCAGCATGGTGACTCTAGTTAACAATACTGCATTATATACTTGAAAGCTGCTATTAGATAAAGGGCTAGTATCCAAGATCTATAAAGAACTTATTAAACTCAACAACAAAGAAACAAACAATCCAATCATGAAATGGGCAAAAGACATGGACAGAAATCTCACAGAGGAAGACATAGACAAGGCCAACAAGCATATGAGAAAATGCTCCGCATCACTTGCCATCAGGGAAATACAAATCAAAACCACAATGAGATACCACCTCACACCAGTGAGAATGGGGAAAATTAACAAGGCAGGAAACCACAAATGTTGGAGAGGATACGGAGAAAAGGGAACCCTCTTACACTATTGGTGGGAATGTGAACTGGTGCAGCCACTCTGGAAAACTGTGTGGAGCTTCCTCAAAGAGTTAAAAATAGATCTGCCCTACGACCCAGCAATTGCACTGCTGGGGATTTGCCCCAAAGATACAGATGCAGTGAAATGCCGGGACACCTGCACCCCAATGTTTATAGCAGCAATGTCCACAATAGCCAAACTGTGGAAGGAGCCTCTGTGTCCACTGAAAGATGAATGGATAAAGAAGATGTGGTCTATGTATACAATGGAATATTACTCAGCCATTAGAAACGACAAATACCCACTATTTGCTTCGACGTGGATGGAACTGGAGGGTATTATGCTGAGTGAAGTAAGTCAATCGGAGGACAAACATTATCTGGTCTCATTCATTTGGGGAATATAAAAAATAGTGAAAGGGAATAAAGGGGAAAGGAGAGAAAATGAGTGAAAATATCAGTGAGGGTGACAAAACATGAGAGACACCTAACTCTGGGAAAGGGGTAGTGGAAAGGGAAGTGGGTGGGGGGTTGGGGTAACTGGGTGATGGGCAATGAGGGGGGCACTTGAGATGAGCACTGGGTGTTATGCTATATGTTGGCAAATTGAACTCCAATAAAAAAATAAAAAAAATTAAAAAAAGAAAGCTGCTATGGGAGTAGATCTTTAATGTTCTCACCATAACCGTAAGAATGCTACTACCATCAACAAAATGGTAATTATGTGAGTTAAAGGATGTGTTAACTAGTGTGGTAAACATATTGCAATATATACATGAATCAAGTCATCACATCACGTATCTTAGACTTACACAATGTTATACATCAATTAAATCCATGGCATTCTCATAATCGATATATGCATATCGCTAATTAACTGCTAAAGCATGCAATGGCACAAAATTCAGTAAGTATAAAAAGGCAAAAAATTAGTCTTTGTCCTACCTCTGTAGGTTAGTCACTCAGTCCTTTTTCCAAAAGGCAACCACTATTACCAGTTTTTTTGGATATCCTTCCAGAGATATTCAATGCATATAAATGCATATGCATCTATTTAGGCACAAATACTTTATAAATGCTGCATGTGGTAGCAGTGTACACATGCTTCTGAAACTTGACTTTTTTTAAAGCCTAATTTAATATGTCTTAGTATTCTATTATTTCACTCTATTGCATAAATTCCTAGAAATCGGATTGCGTGGATAAAGGGTAATACCCCAAATAAACATCTTATTTCAAAATATTCATATCTTATATTTTAGGTATCTTTATTTATATTTAGGTTTTTAACAAAAACAAGCCTGACAAAAGCATACAAATTAGTGGGAATTCTTTGCATCTTTTATATCTGACTCATCTATATTGCAATCTGCTATTTTTCTTTCCTTTTTTAGTGTTATGAGAAACTTCTTTCACAACTAATTTTCTCTTAATGTTTTAACTTGAGCATAATGTCTTTATTCTGGAGGCAAACCAGAGCTGCTTCTTTTTTTTTTTTTTAAAGCTTTTATTTATTTATTCATGAAAGACACAGAGCAAGTCAGAGATAGAAGTGGGCTCCATGCAAGGGGCCCAATGTGGGACTTGATCCTGGGACTCCAGGATCACATCCTGAGCTGAAGGTAGACACTCAACCACTGAGCCACCCAGGGCATCCCAAGCCAGAGCTTCTGATCACTTGGTGGCTTTATTTATACTTTTATAATTACTCTTATTCTTTTGGCCTTACCGTTTAGACCTCTGAATCATTTCCTTCTTCCCAATAGGCCTGCTCTTTCGGGCATCCAGGAAACCTAAGCATGAGAAGAAGGGATTTTCAGTGGATAGTGGGTTAATAGGGAAGGGTGTTGAGCTGTGAGAAGGCGCTGCTAGAACCTGATGCCTCTACCTTGAGCAGACAGTACTGGGCAGTGAGCAATGACCAAGGTCAAGGCCAAGGTTAGACTGTGGGGACTGCTGACAGCAGGCTCTTGAAGACACAACACACTGTGGCACAGACTAAACAGTGTGAAAAGAAACACTGGCTGGTTTGCAGGTAGGGCTGTGATGAAAGCACTAGGTAGCATTTCACAGTTTTCACAGCATTCATATATTATTTTATGGCGATCTTACACCTAGCAGAATGTTAGGAGTACAGCCTGGAGGGTTTAAATCCCAGCTCATCAGGTGAATAATCTTGGGCAAGGGACTTAAGCTCTTGTTGTCTTTGTTTTCTCATCTGTAAAATAGGGGTATTAAAAGCATCTACTCCAGAGAGGTGTTACAAGCATTACACAAGAACAGTGCCTGGGCAAAACACATAAGGGTTACTATTATTATTATTATTATTATTATTATTATTATCACCACCCTATGAGATAGGCAATCCTGGAATCAGCCCCATCTTTGAAGAAAAAAACATACTTTTGGAACTAATTTGCTCACAGACACATGGCTAGTTTATAAAAGCATCATTCTCACTGCACACTCTGATCTCTAAGACACAAGGGCAAGAGGACTTGGCCTTATATGCATCACGAAAGTGCTGAGAGCTACACAGGGTAGGTTCTGCTACGTAAGGAAAGTGGGATCTCAGCAAGCAAACAGTCCCTTTCTGTCTCTGTCACTGGCTGGGCACTGAGCAGTGCTCCCTGGTGTGAAGTCAGTAAGCAAGCGAAGAGCCGGAGGGTACCTCTCTTCGGGAGCGGGTGCGTGGGGTCCCGGTAGCCCTGCCATTCTCTTGAAACATTGAACAGTGCCTCTCGCTCACTTTCCAACATGTTCTGCAGCTTCCTCTCCTGGACTATCAGCTTCAGACGCTTTATCCGCTCCCCAGAGCGGGAGATGAAGTCAGGTCTGTGAAGGTGAAGGGATTCCTGAAGAGAGAAAAGGCCCCCAGCTTCATGTTAATGATGCAGCTTGTTTTCCAAGGGCCTAGAAAACAGTGCCTGACCAAAAGTGGTTTGAGGAGCCTGTTCCTAAAGTGCAGAAAATTTCTGGAGTTGAAGAATAATCTAACAACTCTCTGTAGGGGAGAGCTCCAGTAGGAAAGCCAGAGGAACCAAAGGATGCCTTTGGAATAAGCTAAGAACTAAGACTCTGGCAATTACAATTCTTCCAAATGTTGATGCGCTAGAGCTCAGTCCATGTGCTATTTTAAATTTCCCTTCAAACAAATACATTATTAAATGACATTTCTTTCAGTTGCCAAGGTACATATAAAGAAGGGATTTTGTGCCTTTTAAATCCTGTGCTAAGCAGACATAGGAATTATTTAAATGAAGGAACACACATAGACTGACACAAATATCAAACCTCCAGAGCGCTCTACATGCAGATTTCTACAAACCCGGCATCACAACATTCTCCCTCCTCTTGCCTTGTCCTCAGGTACTGAGGGCAAAAAACAATTTACAATGGTTAACAGGCAAGCGGCCTTTGATTAATGATGACAATGGGAAGAGATGAACTGTGGAAGTGCAAGAAATGAGTGTTATGTGACTGTTCTTCAGAAGGCCAAGTCACAAATTTAACATCTCTGCATCTCCCTTTCTGATCCCCTTAAACATATGGCTAGAAATAACTCAATGTCACTGCACCTGTAGGGTTGCTCTCACAAATGGCCTCAGTCGCTCTCTGTCTGGGCCTGCTAGTGGCCTGTGGCCATCCACGTGCTGTCCCTGCCAGTTCTGTTCCCGTAGAGGTTCCCTCCACGGTTTGGTGTTGGTTATTGGTGCAAACCAGCAGATACCAGGGCCATGAAGCTTGGGTAGGTTTTCCTTCTTAGGTTCAGACTTCACGTTTTCCACAGGAACAAACCATGATACTCCTATGGAAATTATTTTTAAGAAAGAAAAAAGATTTTTCATTCTTCTCATCAAAGAATGTGTGTAATATAGGCTCTTGAGGGGATGCAGCTATCAGAGGCCAGCATGATGTCCTGGAGTTTGCTTAACTGCAAGTATGACTGTAATTGCAGTGCTAGATACTTTGAAAATTTGCCAAGGTGGTGCTGGAGGAGATGGGGTCAAGAGAGAGTCACTTAGAAATAAAGAATTTTAGCATTGGGGATCCCTGGGTGGCGCAGCGGTTTGGCGCCTGCCTTTGGCCCAGGGCGCGATCCTGGAGACCCGGGATCGAATCCCACGTCGGGCTCCCGGTGCATGGAGCCTGCTTCTCCCTCTGCCTGTGTCTCTGCCTCTCTCTCTCTCTGTGACTATCATAAATAAAAAAAAAAAAAAAAAAAAAGAATTTTAGCATTGTGAGAGACTTGAAATTCACTAGTTCTTTGCTACAAAACTGGAATTAGAAACTGACCTTCAGGGATGCCTGGGTGGCTCAGTGGTTGAGCATTTGCTTTTGACTCAGGGCATGATCCTGGAATTGAGTCCTACATTGGACTCCCTGAATGGTTCTCCCTCTGCCTCTGTCTGCCCGTTTCTCTCTGTGTCTTTCATGAATAAATAAAAATCTTAAAAAAAAAAAAAAGGGAAGAAAGAAACTGACCTTCACAGCAACTGTGTTTGTTCTTCCTTAACTTTTTGTTCCCAAGATAATTGGTGAGAAGTCTTTTCTCTTCTATTTTTTCTTCTGACCAAGAAGTCATGTCACTGTCCTCTTCTATCCTAGCCTCGCTAGAACTTGGAGTTGGGAAAGTCATCCCAACATCACGAGTGTGTTTTTTGACACCGTTCACGATCTCCAAGTTACCTGAGGAGAAAGATCCACAGATATCCTGGGAGCGGCCTTGAGATTTAGAGGGCATGTGTATTCGATTTAGTAAATGGAAAATTTCTAAGCCTTCAAAAATGCAGGCTCCTGCCTCCTCTGGATGGTGTGGAGAGATATAGAGGGAGAGAGATAGAGGGAAGGGGAGGGGGACCAACGGGGAGAAGGGGGAAGAAGACAGAAAAAGGTTTTTATTTCTAAGTCAGGTTAGATATTAGAGGGGAAAAAACAACTAACATGGATTCAGTGGGTAGAGGATTTCAGTTCTGATTACAGGTGAGATATTTAATGCTTATAGTCTTACTGACAGGCATCCAGGTAAGGACGAGGTTGACATATAAAGACAAGACTTAGGGGGAAAAAAATCAAGGGAGAAGGTTATTTTTGTTATATAAAATCAAAGGATATAGAAAAACATAAGGGAAAAGCCTCTTTCCCACTTCTGTTCTCCATTCACTCAGTTTGTAACCCCATAGTTTCAAAGAAATTTTTGCACACATTTAAGCGTACTTTATTTTTAAAGTACTTTGCTTTTTCTTTTTAGTTATCAATGTTGGAGATCTTGTCATATTAGCAGAGAGTGCTTCCTCACCCTATGGTTCATTATATGGATGCACGATAATTTATCTAAGCATTTGGCTATTGATGGATATCTAAGTTGAATTAAATTCTCTGCTCTAATAATTACTTCAATGGTTAATTCTGTACACTTGTCATTTTGCACATATGCACAATATATCTATGGGTTAAGTTTCAAAAGTAGAAGTGCCAGGTCAAAGTTATCTTGATAGAAACTGCCAAATTGCCTGTCATAGGGGTTGTGTTCCCAACCTGAATGTATGAGTATCTACTTCTTTACACTTGTGCCCTCAAACTTACTATGAAATTGATTTTTGCCAGTCTGATAGGTGAAAAACGGCATTTGAGTATAGTTTTAATCTTCATTTTATTGTATGTGAGACTAAGTATCATAACATATGTTTAAAATCTATTTGTATTTCAATGGAAATGGTTAAATTCAGGTAATTTACCTGCTTGTACAGCTTTGTTTAACATCTGTACATTTTGCATGTTGTAAAGGGTAGAGCTTGAGCTCCAGAAACTACTGGTAGAAGATGAAACAGAGTCAGAAGAAATCACATGGTCTGCCACCTGTAAAAACAAGAGACCCTGTTATTACCTTAAATCACTGGCATAGTCAACCACAGCATAGGAAAACATACAAGCCACCAAGAGCCCCTTCTAATTCAATTCCAGTTGTTGATATCAAGTTGCCAGAAAGCTTCTGACAATGGGAACATGCTATTGCACAATTTGTAACGGGGAAATGAATGCTGCTGTGGTTGGATATGGGCCTGAGCTGCTGTAAAAAGGTAAGGCATCAAGACTGGGTATGTTCCCAGGACTTGAAAAAAATCTGAAGATCCTAGTCAAAGATTAGCCTGGTGTGTCTTCAGAATGAAATGCTAAAGTTTTTTTTTTTTTTTTTTAATTCTAAAATTTTGATGAGAGATAAAGAGGGCTAGGAATGACTAAAGAGGGTGCTGGCTGCAGAGGGTGCCCTCCAGTAAGATCAGACTTGGATACTTCTACATGGGTAAATACAAAGCTGCAAGGCCCCATGAGAAGTCCCAAATGACTGGAGTATTTCAAAAATTATTAAAGAACCCAAGACGCCTTTATAATTATGTTCAGAGCAAAGAGGGGCAACTTTATGGGTTGAAGATGGTGGAATGTTAGTGAATGACAAAAAGATAATCAAAATGTAGTAGAAAACAGTCTCTTAAACTTATCACAACAATCTGCTGAGGGATGGGTCCTAACCTAGAACAATTAGAGTCTCTAGGGGAGGGGTCTGAGTACCTGTATTTTTCATAAATGCCAGGTACTTATCTACTTAAGCAAGTTTGGTAAAAGTGAATTCACGGCTAAGTCAGGAAAGGAAGCAGAATGATTGCTCCCTGAACTAGATAAACTATATTCCAGGTCTCTCAGGAAACTGCAACAGTTTCTTTTAAAAATTTGAAACAGAGGGGCGATTTTAGATGTCTGGGGACAAGAAATGTTTTAATTTTCAAAAAGATAAGCATTGCAAACTGGCAGGTTTAACAATAATGACATATAAAATTCTAGAATGGATCATCAATCTAATAATTTGCAAGCATTTGGAGGTCAAAGAAAAGATTAGCACATTTCAGCTACTGCTCAGGAAGGTAGGCAGAACAATCACTGCCAGGTTAGCCTGTTGTTTTTTTTTTTTTTTCTAGTAGATATCGTCACTAACTGGTTAAGCCAAAAGAATGTGTAGTTGAGTGCAACTAGATTTGAATAAAATGACAAAACTTCTTGTGATATCTCTGAGGGGAAGATGAGTTACGTGGGTTAAATGATAAAATAAACTGGTAGAACCATAATGGGTTGAACCACTCTTACCCAAATATTATCAACATAGAGAGGCCTTTAGTGTACATTTGACAGCAAGTATTTACTAAGTGCCTGTCGTGTCCAGTTACTGGGTTTGCTCTATTCCTTCTTAAAATTTTATATATCAGTGTCTTGGAGGTATGAGAAGCAGGTTTCTCATATGATGCATATCTGGGAGGGCCTAAGTCATTTAGGATCTTTGTCAAGATCCAAAATAATAAACAGGAATGATGCCAAATCAAACACGGGATAATTGTAAAGCCCCACACACTAGGCAGGAGGAACAGCAACTCTGACACAGTAGAAACAGCTTTGTGTTTGGAGTCTCAAGACCTACGCCAGTCTCAGATCTTCCCTTTACTAGCTGGCTCTACTTGAGCAAGCACTGCATTCTCTGTAGGTTTCTCAGCTCAAAAAGGGAGCACCTTCATTTCTGAAAGTACAGAATTGTTAGAAAGAACCAGTGATTTAGATTATAAACTGTAAAAAACTAACATAAAACTCTGAGCCTACTGTGATGTTAAAAAAACCCAAGATGTATGAGTATAAGGAAGAGTGGTGTGAAAGATAAGCCTGACAGGCAATATACTATCCCTTCTTTGCAGCTGTAAGAGAAGAAAGAACATTAGGTACTGAAAGGACTGACTTTCAAGAGAGATTGTTAAGTATAAAAAGCAGAGCTGCCAGGTTTGTGAGAAAAAGGTAGAAAACATATGCAGCTATTTGCTTTTTTATGTAAAAAACACCTGTGAAAAGAATAGAACCCAGATTGGAAAGAAGTACAGCTTTTTTTTTTTTTTTTAGAAGTACAACTTTTAATTTGTAAATGACATGATCCTGTCCATAGAAAATACTAAGGAATTCATAAAGAAGTATTAGAACTAGTAAATTTAGCCAGATTGGGGATATAAAATTAAATAGATAAAACATTAATTGGATTTTTAAAAAAGATTTTATTTATTATTTCAGAGCAAGCGTGAGTGCTCCCACAGAGGGAGAAACAGAATCCTTGCTGAGCATGGAGCCTGACTAGGGGCTAGATCTCAGGATTCTGAGATCACGATCCAAGCCAAAAATCAAGAATAAGATGCTTAACTGACTGAGCCACCCAAAATCATTTGTATATCTGTATTTTAGCAATAAACAATCAGAAAATAAAATTAAGGAAAATTCCATTCACAATAGCATCAAAAAATTGAAATATTTAGGAATAAATTTAACAACAGAAGTGCAAGGCTTGCACAGTGAAAACTATAAAACATTGGTGGGAGAAATTAAAGATCTAAATAAATGTGAGACATTCCACATATGTAATTTTTTTAAAAAAGATTTTATTTATTCATGAGACAGAGAGAGAGAGAGACAGGAGAGAGAGAGAGAGGGAGAGGCAGAGACACAGGCAGAGGAAGAAGCAGGGTCCATGCAGGAACCTGACATAGGACTCGATCCTGGGACTCCAGGAACAGGCCCTGGGCTGAAGGTGGCGCTAAACCGCAGAGCCATCTGGGCTGCCCTCCACATATGTAATTTAAAAATGGGCTCAGCCCCTGGGTGGCTCAGTCGGTTAAGTGTCTGACTCTTGACTTCGGCTCAGGTCATGATCTCAAGGTGGTGAGCCTACTTGAGAATTTCTCCCTCTGCCCCTACACTCTGCTTTCTTAAAAAAAAAAAAAAGATGAATTCTATGGTATATAAATTATACTTCAATAAAACTTAAAAAAAATCTCTGTGAAGATATGCAAGAACTAAGAATGAGTAACACTGAGCAGCTCTGGAAAGGAGAGCTAGGTGACTAGGACTGGGAAGGAGACAATAAAATATTCTTTTATATGTTGAAAATTTTGTACCATGTGATTGTATTCCAGTTTATTTTTATTTTTTTATTTAAACATTTTTTTAAAGATTTTATTTATTCATGAGAATACACAGAGAGGAGAGAGAGAGAGAGATGCAGAGACATAGGCAGAGAGAGAAGCAGGCTTCATGCAGGGAGCCTGACGTGGGACTCGATCCAGGGTCTCCAGGATCACACCCTGGGCAGGCGGCACTAAACCGCTGAGCCACCAGGGCTGCCCTGTATTCCAGTTTAAGAAGTGAAAATAAAACAAAAGCATACAGAAAAGAGTGCAGCTATAGAGGTTTCATGGCTTTGGTGAGCTCAACAGAAGTAAAGCATATATAAGGCTTAAGAAATGTCCTACCCACAGAAAGGAAGGTGATAAATCTGCTCTGTCAACACGCTCTCACCATCTGAAGCACAACATGCTTAGTTCAAGGAGACATGTTTAAAGATAGGATATCAGCAAACAATAGAACCAGGGAAGCTGCCAATTTATAGGAAAGGGGAGTGGAAAGCATGTCCTGTGAAAAATGGTTCATAGTGAAGACCTGAGAGGAAATACTTCCGGGAAGGAAATGGGAACCCAAGAGGAAGATTAGCCTTATTTCTCGTGCCTTTTTTAAAAAAATTTTATTTATTTATTCATGACACACACAGAGAGAGAGAGAGAGAGAGAGAGAGAGAGAGAGAGATAGAGGCAGAGACACAGGCAGAGGGAGAAGCAGGCTCCATGCAGGGAGCCCAACGTGGGACTCGATCCCAGGTCTCCAGGATCACACCCTGGGCTGCAGGCGGCGCTAAACCCTGAGCCACCTGGGCTGCCCTTCTTGTGCCTTTTGAAAGCAAGGCTGGGAACAGAGCAAGGGAGTACAATAATTGGAGATTTTGGATCTCCGGAAATTAAGACCTTTGATAATGGAGCCTTAGACACATAAATAAGCTGCCCATGCACAATGAGGGAGGGTGGAGCTCTCTGCAAGCAGAGGCTAGGGTGCCTCATGGCACAGATGCAGCAGAAATGACAGTCCCTTCCAAGCCCAACTCTCCTGAACATAGAGGATACAACCAGTCACGCTATGCACCACTGATTTGATTCAATGAGGACCTTGGTGTGTGTTTGTTTCTAGTTCAAATCTCTTTCAGATTAATTCCTGCCTATAAAAAGTCAAACATTTAAAAAATAGAACAAGTCTAAAAATAAGTTCTCTCTCAATAAAATATATTTAGTTAGAACTCTAGGATGGTGAAAATCCAAAGGACAAGTGTTTTCAAGGATGTGGAGAAGTTGGAACCCTCACATACTGCTGGTGGGAATGTAAAATTGTGATATTTTGGATAAGAACAGGGCAGATCCTCAAATGGTTAAATGTAGACTGCTTATGCCAGCATATATCTGCTCCCAGGCATATGCCCAAAAGAAATGAGGACATACATCCACACAAAAACTTTGTAAAGGAGTATTCACAGCAGCCTTGTTAATAATAGCCAAGGAGAAGAGATCCAAATATCCATTTACTGGTGAGTGAATAAATAAAATATGTAATGGAATATTCATACAATGGAATATTATTTGGCAATAAAAAAAGAATGAATACACTGCTACAATATAGATGAACTTTGAAAAATGTTAAGTGAAAGCAGTCACAAAAGGTTACATATGGTATGATTCCATGTATATGAAATGTCCAGGATAAGCAAATCTATAGAAACAGAAAGATTAGTTACTTAGTTACCACAGCCAGGGGCTGGGGCAGCTGTGAGAGGTTGGGAAAAATGCAGAGGGACTTTGCTAATGTGTACTGGGTGTCTTTAGAGGGTGTTGAAAATGTTTTAAAATTAGATTGTGGCGATGGTTGCACAACTCTGTGAATACTAAAACCCACCAAAC